ACACAGAGATTAAGGCAGCTAAAAATAGCGACTTCTGTGACCCTGCTGGAATTTTCTTTAAGCTTGGAAACACTGAAGTGTGTGTTTTGTCAGATTTGAATCATGAACCTTGAAGAAGAGCTAATGACTTCTTATTTCTCACCCCTAATCTTCAACTAGAGCATTCTTTATGTGAAAAGCAGATCAGTCTGAAACTGTACCTCAGGCTTCACTTACCTTATTTAACTTCGCTTACTTGCTTTGTTCATTGTATAATTTTTTTCTGCTCCAGTGATTGTGTTTATGAAAATCATTATTTTCAACCCTTATTGTTAGACCCATGCAAGCTGTGCAATTATTGCTGGAGGTGACAGTTCCCCAAATCTGCCTTATTTTCTGTTGTTCTTAAAACCAAGCTTTTCCTCTCGAACATCTTGTAACTCTTACCCTGATGAAATGTGTGGCTTTCTCTGTTACTCCGTCTTGTTTTCCTGGCAACTTAATGAAGACTTTTTACCTGGGACTAAATATCCACTTCTGGGACAAAAGCAAATGTTTTCTCTGCTCCCTGTCCTGGTGGATCTGGTTGTAGGTAAGGGATGGCAAAGCTCTTGCTTGCTTTTGGGGCTGAGATTCAGTTCTGATCTTCAAAATCAGAAAGTCAAAAGTGTTCCCAGGATGTTCTGCACCCAAAGTGGCTAGGGTGTAATCAGAATTACCATTAATTATGTTTTACCGACAAAAGGACAAAAAGTGGCTGAAACGCCCCAGTTCAGTTGAAATTGAAATGTTCTGGTAGGAAGCAATCATAATGCTTTGCATGTCCCTTTTTGATGCAGTTTTTCTTTCGGATATATTAGTATTTAAACTATAATAGATGTTTTGGTAATTGGTTGAATCCTTGCTTCAAAAAATCTTTTCTTTAAATTTGTCTCTGTTTCTGTGTAGAACAGAATTGCAAAAAATAAATTCCAGTGCTTGACTAGCTCTTGCTTGGCATGAAGTTGTAGAGCACTTAAAATTCCTCATACAACAGCTTTAATTGCTTGCTAATCTTGCCTAAAGATTGGCTGAGAATGTCGGCTCACTTCTCCTGTTGCTTATTCTCAGTTAGCACAGACTGCAAACGCTTGGGGAAAATGTACTGGGAGCATTTACTGTAGAAGGTGGGTGAAGGGGTATGGAAACACTCGCCTAGAGGTCAAACTGTTGATGTTTTAGTAGTTGGTTATTGATCTCAATCAGCAGCCTGACAGTTGTATGGCTTTTGTAGAATGAGTTAATAATTTCTTGGTGTGATGCAAAATCAACACCCAATTGACCCGAGCCCCTGAGTGTGGCCCTGTGGAAGGGCATGGTGTGAGATGCTGCTCTGCTCCTCCATGAGCAGCTCTTTAGGACAAAGCCTGCCCCATAGCTGTGCCTTCCTCTTTCCTTCCCACGTTGTGCCTGGGCTTTGATGAATGTGTTAGTGCTCATGTTGGTGGCTGTTCCCTTTTTTTAGAAACAAATCTTACCCGCAGTAACTCTGCATCCACAGTGAGTAATGGAGAAATCATTGCTCGTTAATGATTCACTTGCAGGTTCCTGTATTGCTCTTGCTCAGTCACTGGTGTTGCTGTTGGCTCCTAAGTGTTGCTCAGCCGAGCACTTAGACCTGATTTTCATAGTTTCAGTAGGGTTGTTGTAATGACAGGGTGGTGGGTGGCTGCCCTTGGTTACTGTTCGTCTGGTCCAAAATATATCCCTCCAGAGCTGGTGTGATGATGCTCCTGGCAGGATTGTAGAACTTCTGTGCTGTTGAACCTTTCAACTGCTTCAAGACCACTTTTACCAGTTACTTTTTTGTTAGTTTGCAAAAACTGTTACTGGGTGTTTGCTTAAAGGCTACCTCATTGATTTACCTCTCCTGCTGTGTGTATCCTCTCTATGTTCAAAAGGTTAAATACTAAACTTGGAATTTCCATTTTGAACCTCATTTTCAGGTAAAGCTCTCATCCCAGCCTCTCCAAAGTGTTTGTTTTCTGTGTGCACACTTGGTGATCCACTTTCTTGGGAAATGCCACTGCTTTGCTGCTGCAGTTACAGGAATGGTGTCTCTAATCAAGGAGCAAAAGCAAACTTCAGCTCTTAATAACTCAGAAATACAATCCTGAAGGATGCCTGGGGTCACAGAGTGCAGTCCTTTGTCTTGGTTGTGCCTGTCATATCCTCCCTAGGCTGATTGAGTTACGCAGACAGAGCTTGCCTAATAATTCAGCTTCCTATTTTGTAACAGTCATTATTGTAGGCTGTTTCATGGTGCTATTGTTCAAGTAAACTAAAGAAAAAAAATAATAAAAAGGGGCTCACACAAGAACAAGAGGATGCTTTCGCTGCTTTTGGCTTGGTTACTTCCTGTGAAAAAAAACATTTGCCATGCAATGCTTGGGTTCATTCAGCAGCAGTCAGCTCAATAACAGAAATTAATAAGCTAAAACCTCTAGAAGCTTTAGGATGTGAAAATACCGTGGCCTGACTTTTGAATATTCAGCATCCCTTTTTTTTTTTCGTGATGTCTATTCACCTTTCAGTCTGGGCAGCCAAAACCCAGTGGCTCAGAGTCATTTTCCAGAACCATTTGTAGGAAAACAGAGGCCTTGGGTTTGGTTCTGCTGCAGTTCAGTCCACAATTGGTGTAAAACCTGCACCCCAAAAAAAGGAAGGGGAGAGGCATGGCCTCTGTTTGGCAATGGGCATGAGCATGGGAGGAACATTAGACCCCAGCCAAAGGGGGTGAGTGGTGGGAGACTTCATCAAATAAAGCGTGGCAGACTTGGGGTGATTTGAGACCCTGTTATTTTTATTGCTTTCAGAAATTCCTGTAATTGATTTGATTGCAGAGAGGAAAAGCAGAATTTTGTACTGAAAGTAGTTCTTGTGGCTTTTCTTGTTTCTTTTTTTCTCATACAAGGAAGGCTTTCCTGCGGTCCTTCTCCCACTGTAACTTCACAGCAATGGCTTCATCCCCTCTCTGTTTTCTTCCTCTCTTGTTGCCCTTCTCCACTTTCTCTTCCCCACATGTTGCCCTTTCCCTGTGTGCCACCTGTTTGCTCCTGGCACAGTCAGGGCTGGGCAGGAGCCAGGAGCTGCTGGAGCACCTCTGCCTCCCTGAATCCATCATCTCTCCTGCCAGGGAGCTCAGACCTGCCTCTGCCTTCCACTTCGTGAAAGAATGTCTCTGTTCAGATTTATTTTTTAATTGAACTCTCGGTGTCTCAAATGAAGGAGGACAAAACATGATTCTGATTTTTTTTTTTTTTTTTTTGGGGGGGTGAGGGAAGCCCCTTCGAACAGTCTGAGGTCGCTCCACATCGTGTTGATCACAGAAATTGTTCCAGAGTCCTGGGCCTAAGCTCATATGGGAAAACGGCCCTGGATCAATGAAAGAAAACATTCAGCAATGTGCATTTTATACAAGCATTTAAACTTTTTTTTTTTTTTTTTTGGTTTTGTTTAGTAATAAAAGGAACAAAGCTATTATTAGTGACCATGGGCTTGGGAGTTTGCTAAAGCAGCAATAGTTACTCATCTGTTTTCATTTGCAGAAGTGTTCTAACAAAGGCAGCCACAAACGCAGCAGTGGGGTTAGGAGGTGGATGGTAGGAGTGGAAGTGCAGTTTCTGGAAGCCAGTGCTTACTGAGACCTTTCTGTTTAGTCTTGGCTCTGTGGCCACCAGGAGCCCAGGTCCTCTTGCCTTGGATTGAAACGTGAAAGGATGAATCCCCTGGGTAAGTCCTTGGTCCTTTTTCTTCTCTGAGCTGCAGCAGAGCTCCACAGAGCAGTTGTCTCTCCTGGTGCCAGCCTGGGGTTGTGCCTGCACGTCAGCTCCTGCAGCTGGCTGCAGAGATGGAGAAGGAGCAGTGGTGTATGATCATTTTGTTTCAGTTTTCCCTTTCTCCTCCTGGCTCAGGTAGGAATAAAATAGAGAAATTACCTGACTTGGAACCACAAAGAACTCCAATCTTTTTTCTCTCGTTTCTTTTTCTTTTTCAAACCAGCTGAACAAGCGTGCACAAGACCTTCTGCATGTGCTTTCATGTGCAGCCAGCTGGGTCAGGGTTTGCTCCGTGGCAGATGCTGTGGACTGCAGGGCTGACTCTGTACGTGGTGGGATCCACGCTGCCTGCAAGGGCAGTTTCCTCAGGTGCAGCAAGGGCAGGCGAGTTTTTAGCTCAAAATGCCGTGGCGTGCCCAGAGATTCTATGGGAAATCAAAATGAAATATTCCTCTTGATTTCCTTGGGTTTGGAGCCATGTCCCACCTAAGTTTGGTTGTGATGTGCTGAATACGTGCCTGAATTTAATGCTGGAATTAAATGCTCCGTGAGAGTTGCTGTCTAATAATCTCAATCAGCCTCTTTTGCTCCCCAATCCTGCAGCAGCTGAAAGTCTGATTTGCAATTTGAGTTTGCATCCCGAGGCTGCTATGGCAAGCACCACGAGAAATATCTTGAATAAGTAACAAATTTCAGGAATTGCTGTTTGCCCACATGTCTGCTGTGCTGAAGATACAAACTTAAAACCATGGGATTGCAGAAGACCTAACAGGAAAGGAGAGATGCAGAAGGAAAACTCTTGTTAGTGCACAGGGATCTCTTGGGGCAGCTGAGCCACAGAAAATTGCAATTATTTTTCTAGGGTCAGAAATGATACTGAGATAACAGGCAAGGGAGGAGTGATTGAGCTGCTTTATCGTGCTGCTTACAGAAATGTGAGATGTAGCATGATAATTGAATAAAAGGTCTTATCTGTAGTTACGGTTGTTAATGGTCACAAACTGCCATCTAAGAGGACAGATTATGTAATTTGCACTAATGTGCAAATAAAATAATAATAATAAAATAATAATAATAATAGAAACATTTTTTTTTCCTGAATTTTATGCAAATATTTAAAAAAAACCCCCAACCTTCTCTCTGTACTGTGTGGAATAATGTTTTGCTTTCAAAGATGCCAAACTTTTGGAAGTAGACTGATAGAAGATGTCAAACTTGGTGATATTTTTACACATGGCATGTTGGAAGGCTTTTTTGATTTTTAAGAGTGGGTTATTAAATATTTTCATCTTCTAGTTTTCTTTTTATTGTTTTGAAAGTTTTGCAAACATAATAAAGTATGTAGGCACAAAAGTTTGAAGTGACCTGGCACTAAAGGGAACAAAAAAAGCTTCACCCTCTTGAAACAGGATTCTGCACACAGAACTCGTTTTCCTCCATGGCAAACAAATTTCTGGAGTTTACTTTGGCAGGAATTCCCACCACCATTTTGTTAAACAGAAATGGAAGGGTGTTTCCAAGCAGCATGTTTCTTTGTTGCCATGTGAAATACAGTTTTAAATCTGTTTTCTGTAGGCACTTAGTTTTGTTTTTACTTTCCTTGTCTTCTTCCCATACATCTACAGCTTCCTTACACCACTGGGAATCATGGAATAAGAGATTGGCTTGGGTTGGAAGGGACCTTAAAGTTAAAGATCATCCAGTTCCAACCCCCTGCCATGGGCAGGGGCACCTTCCACTAGACCAGATTGCTCAGACTATTTTAAGATAAATAGTTATATTCATGTTTTTGATTGTATTGAGGAAAGAACTTCGTTTTGGCTTGAACTTCACTGTTTACAATTTTTTGCATGTGAAACATTAACTGATACAAAAATGCCTGCAGGTTGAGATCCACCTTAGATTTGCATATTTGGTTTTATAGTCCTAAGGAATTTTGTTGCATTTAGTCTCAAATGAATAATTATGAAGAGGGACTTTGCAGTCGAAAACCTATCAGTTTTCTGCCAACATAGTTTTTTATTTTTGTGCTCTAGTGATTATGGAAAACCTTATAGGAAACCCCTTGTATATTGCTTCTTGGAGGGCAGTATTTAAAACGTTGATAAAATGATGCTGCTGTTGAATAATGTAATGAGAAAATGATAAATTGGGGAGTTTTTGTGCTTCAAACCTGTTTTTTTCACAAGGCTAAAGTGATTCAGCCCACCCCTGCCATCTCCAGCTGTTATTTACATGTGGACATGGAAAGGGCTTTTCACCCTCTCAGACAATCACCTTTTACATTCACTGGAATCACAGTAGCCTTTTAATGCCTTTTTATTTTTAATGGTAGTATATTGAAGTTTTCCTTAACTAAGGAGTAGTACCGTTTACCTGAAAAAGTAACTGTCAGGCTGGTTTTGGTGTCAGCACCTCCCTCCTGGCACTTGCTAATGCTTCATCTGCATTTTTTATCCTGGGCCACCACAGTACTAAGGTCTTGGACCTGTTTGGAAGCCCTTTGGCCTGGGAACTGCTTTATTCTGGCTGACTCTGCAATCCCCAATTTACCTGATGCTGGTTCTGCAGAGGCATGTGGTGGGATGGGTGGAGAAAATTGATTATTATGGTTTTTTGCCTAGGGCTTTTTTCCTCTTGTTTCAGGGAATTTCTCAATCCCAGTCTGTAAAGATTTAATGTGCTGGCTTTTTAGTAATACTAAACACTTGTAAGATTTTATAAACATACATAATCACTCAAATATTAATGTCTTCAAACAACTTGGACAATTTAGTCAAAAGAATATATGAATGCATTTGATCTGCTTTGGGTTTTTTTCAGTGTAACCTTTTCAGCTTAGCATTGTTTTGTATTTTTGAGATAATCTTTGCTTTTCCCCAGTTACATTTAATAAACGATTTTAGCAGCAGGAGCTAGTGTATGTGTCCTTAGAAAGCACTTGCTCTACCAGACAGGAAGGTGTTTTTCAGGTTCCATACTTTGGTTTTGTGTATTTAATTATTGCTTCTTTCAGAATAAATTAGCCTGTATTAAAAGCACACCGGAGGCTGGAGTTCTTTGTTCCCAGGCTGTAAATAACATGGTCAGTGAAGGTGTTTTCATTATGCTCCACTCTTGAACTTCAGTGGAAATTTGGGATGGCATGTTCAGGATGTTGAACAGTTACAGGCTGTCAAAGATTTGGGTTTTCATGCTGCTGTAACAAAGGCTCTTCTCTGCTAAGGCTGTGAGCCTGGCAGGCTCAGCTTCAGTTATATCTTGTGTGGCTTGTCAGTGCTCAGTGGGATAACAGGACATGGCTGTTGGCTACAGAGGGTGCAGCATTCTGGAATTTAGAGATGTGGTTTCTGCTCCTGTCTGTACTGCCCAGGCTGTGTGTCCCCAAGGGGCTCTGCTCTAAAACTTTGTGTTGGAAGTGATTATGGGTGATGGTATCTTGGCCAGGTGATGTGTGGCTGTTGGACCCTCCAGCTGCTGTCCTGTCTTGGAAAAGTATCCCTCTTAAATCTGCTCTGGGTTAAAGCTCCTGCTCTGCATGCCTTCTGTCTGCTTTGGGACGTCTCTCATTGTAGTAGATACTTCTTGAGTTTGTTTTGGGGGAACCTCCAATCTTTAATTTAGAAAGGAGGGGTTGCATTTTTGAGGTATTATTTACTGCTTTAATTCATCATGGTGTATGTGAAGGCAAGAGCTCCTGTTGGGTGCAATATTCCAGCACTATTTCAGATCCATCTGCTCTGCCAAAGAGTTTGCTTTGCTCTGCATCTGTCTTTTTGGAGCCTCTGGCTGCAGGGCATCTTCTGTGTTCAGGAAATGGCTGGACATGGCACTCAGTGCTCTGCTCTGGTTCAGAAGGTGGTGGTTGGTCAAAGGTTGGACTTGATGATCTTAAAGGTCTTCTCCAGCTTTATTGATTCTGTGATTCTGTGTCCCGCAATTTGTTACTCACTGCTTTATTCCACAGTGACCTACTTAGATTAGGCAACCAGTCTTTATTTGCAGAGGAGCATGTTGTTCCTTCACCAGTCCTCCAGCTGGAAATGGTTTCAGGTCTGAACTTCTCAGAATGAAACTGTTGATACCAATTTAATCTTGTTCATGGCTGGTTTATATCACTTGGTGACGTGCCAGGGTTGTTCTCTCCTGGGTGTTTGTTTCTCTGCTGTATTTATAGACAGCAACACTCACTCCTGTCAACCTCCAAACTTTTCTTTAGCTTCCCACTATAACGTGGGCTTGTTTCCCTTGTCCCCTCAATTTTAGCTCCTTGTTCTTGAGCAGATTGCCCAAGCAGGGGCCCTTGCCCACAGGGCACACACAGGTTTTGCACTTGGAACACGGGTGCTTCTCCATCCTCTCTGGCATTGCCTTGTCTGATACAGCCTGAGGCTGCTGCTTTTTGTGCTTTGCAGTGCTGGCCACTTGTGACATCGGGAGTGACTCATTCCCCTGGGCTCCTCTCAGTCCCATTGAGTTTAAATTCATCAGAGAAATACTGATGATGTACCATATCCTGTTGTGCTTTGAAAGATCCTAATGGAGTTGTGGCAGCTCACCAGAAGGATGAGCTGTTTCTCTTGACCTGTGATCTGAAACAACACAGTCTAAGTCCAATAGATACAAATCAGGGGGAATTTTATCCATGAGTTGCTTCCCCGAAGTGTCAGTGAATCCAAGGCTGGAGCTTGAGCAGAGGCATTTGGAACAGATGTTTCAGGTTAATACAGAAGAGACTGAAGAGCTTATTTTGAAAGAAAATAACTGAGAATATGAAGAGGGATACAGGAAAGCCAGTGAGCAATTCAGGTGTGTAATCTGGTAATAAGCTTAAATGCTGCCCCTTCATAAGGGGAGGAAAAGAAGCATAATTTGACTGTGGTGTGAGCTCAGGCAGTGCCTTGCAGCCTTGGTAAAGGCTGGTGGGAGCTCAGCATGGATGGGGGCTTGGAATTGTTGAAATCTATTCTTTGAAAATGGCAAAACAGGGCTGTGTTAAAATCAGAGAGCCAGGAGGGCACGATGAGAGCCCAGGTCCTTGCTGGTATCTTACTGCTCTTGAAGCCACTGCTGCAGGCTGTTTATTTGAGGTGACACTGCTGTTTCACCCTTTGCCTCTTTACCCTTTTTATCCCAGCTCAGGGCACTGCCAGACGCCTGGGGAAGAGGGAACAAAGCTCCATCTAGTGTGGAAAGGGAGATGTCTGGGAGCTGGCCAGATGAGAAATCCTACAGAAGCTGCTTTTCCCTAGCCCAGGCATGGGGTTTGCTTTTTTGGCTGTTTTTATTTTGTTTGGTCTTTTTTTTTTTTTTGTTTTTGGGTGTTTGTTTTTTTGTGGGTGTGTTTTGTTTTTTTTTTTTTTTTTTTTTTTTTTTTTTTTTTTTTTTTGTTTTTTTTTGTGGTTTTTTTGGTTGGTTGGTTGGTTTGGTTTTTGTTTTGTTTTTTTTGTTTGTTTGTTTACTAGGATATTAACTTTTTTGTGTATAGCATTGCAAAGGGCTTTGGCTGTGCAAGTGTTAATTGAATAAGTCTGGCATTGACAGCTGGTGTTCATTTTTGGTACTCTGGATCTGTGTTCGGGATAACACTGGCTTTAATGCAGTGATAAGTAGTCTGTAGTGCCAATTCAAGGGAAAATTAAATATATATCCTTCTATAAAGATGAAGAATTCCGTAGCCCGGTTGTAGCTGTGTGAAGGGAAGGGGCACAGAAGTATAACACTTACAAGGCAGAATATCATAGTTTAAGATGAAGGTTAAGATTTGTACAAAAATAAACTACAGTCAGATGATAAAATGTGTAATCCGTTTATATTTGCATTATCTGCTTTTAAAAACAAGAAAAAATGGAAAATCATCTTGTTTGTTCTGAAGATTTTGAAAGAATATTTTCTTTTTCCTCCCTGAATACTTCAAAAGCCAGTTGTAGTTTCCTGAATGTGGCTTTGCATCAGCCTGTCTAAAAGGAATGGAAAAATATGTTCAGTGTATTATATATATTGGCAACTAAGTATCAGGCAGCCACTAAATTTCTGAATTCAGTAATGGTTGTATGAAAAAAAGAAAAAGCTAATACACTTTAATCCAGATTTCTTCTGTGGGTTATGAAGGAAACTTTTTTTTTGTTTTCCTTAATCCACCTGTGATGTCCCATTCTTATCCAAACATCCTGCTTGTCCTCTTGCCTGCAGTATCTCTGCTACAGCTCAGTGCCAAAGACCACTGGGCAGAGTGGGTCCCTGCCCAAAGTGGTAGATGTGTGTGATCTGTGGGGAGTTGGGATCAAACATCTCAGTGGGTTTTTGTTATTGTTTTGGGGGGTTTCCATGGTTTCCAGCTTGTTGGGAGTGTTGGGTTGTGGTTTGTTTCCAGCACGTTGGGAATACTGGGGATTGTTCGTGCTGGGGGAGGATGATGATGAATAGAAGGTGGTGGGTGCAGAGAAGGTGAGGTTTTCTTTCACACCGGTGGGCTGAGGTGAAGGGAATGGATGGTGACTGCTCACAAACCTCATGGTTTGTAGCACTGCCTTTTCTGAGCCAAGGAGCTGAAGAAATGGCAGGGTCACTGTGCTCCAGCAGCAGCACCTTTGCCAGGCGTTTGTTTCACCCAAAGGTGCAGCTGCAGGTCCCGACTGAGCACTGCTCCAGTACTGCTTTTTAGGGACAGCAGTACAGTTGGCTGCTGGGCTCC